AAAAAAAAAAAAAAAAAAAAAAGGCAGAACAAATGTTACCAGAGGCTAGAAAGGGAAGGGTAGGGGCAAGGGTGGGATAGGGAAAAATTTGTTAATGGACACAAAATTATTAGCTATATTGGAGGAATACGTTCTAGAGTTTTACAGTACTGTAGAATGACTATAGTTAACAATAATACACTATATATTTTTAAATAACTAGAAGAGAAGATATTGAATGTTCCTAACACAAAGAATGATAAATGTTTTAGATGATGGATGCCCCAGTTTGACCAGTACACATCGTATGTATAGAAACATCACCATATACCCCATATTTATGTACAGTTATTATGTATGAATTAAGAATAATGGACCCCAAATATTTCATGTCCTAATCTGCAAAACCTGTGATTGTGTTACCTTATATTAGCAAATAGGACTTTGCAGATGTGATTAAACTAAGGATTTTGAGTTAAGAACACTGTCCTGTTGAGTCTAGTGTAATCACAATGGTCCTTATAAAAGGGAGGCAAGAAGGTCAAGGTCCGAGAAGGAGATGTGACAACAAAAGCAGAGGTGGGAGTGATGCAGTTGCTGGAGAGGGGCCACTAGCCAAGGAATGTAGGCAGCCTCTAGAAGCTGGAAAAGACAAGAAACAGATTCTCCCTAGAGCTCTAGAGAGGGAATGTAGCCCTGCCAACACCTTGATTGTCCCATAAGACCTATTTTCAGACTTTAGACCTGAAGAACTATAAGATGATAAATTTGTGTTGTTTTCAGCCACCAGTTTGTAGTAATTTCTTACAGTAACAAATGAACACAGGTAACATTGTTGAGGAGCTATTTCTGAGCTTTGTCAACTACTCTATTGATGTGGGAGCAGTCTCCCAGCTCTGAATTCAAGAAAGTCTAAAAAGAAGCAGGACTCAAAGACATTATGCTGAATAAAAGAAGCTTTAGACAAAAAAAATACACACTGTATGATTCCAATTATATGAAGTTTTATAACAAGAAACACTAATTAGAATAGTAGTTGTCTCTGGTGGAGCGGGGATGGGAATTGACTAGGAAGGAGCATGAGGCAATTTTCTTTCTTTTCTTTCTTTTTTTTTTATTTTTTGAGACAGAATCTTACTCTGTGCCAGGCTGGAGTACAGTGGCACGATCTTGGCTCACTGCAATCTCCGACTCCCTGATTCAAGTGATTCTTCTGCCTCAGCCTCCCAAGTAGCTGGGATTACAGGTATGTACCACCATGCCCAGCTAATTTTTGTATTTTTAGTAGAGATGGCGTTTCACCATATTGGCCAGGATGGTCTCGAACTCCTGACTTCGTGATCCGCCCACCTCGGCCTCCCAAAGTGCTGGGATAACAGGCGTGAGCCACTGCACCCAGCCACATGAGTGAACTTTCTGGGATGATGGTAATGTTATGTATTTTGATAGGGGTTTGAGTTACAGATGTATACATCTTTGTCAACATTCAGCAAATATACACTTAAAGTTTGTGCATTTTATGTACTTTTAACTCAAAAAACATGTAAAATAAATGTGGAGCTCTAATTAATAACATGCATGTTGAAATGTTTACAGGTGAAGTGTACTGATTTCAGCAATTTTTTTTACATGCACCCAGAAACAAAGTATACTGGTAGAGAAACTGATAGTTACATGA